GGAGACCGTGATGAAAAAATGAATCTCGTTTTGTATTCGTCAGTGTGTGAAAGTAGCCACTGGGACCATGAACGCATCAGGAAAATGTTTACTGTGGTCACAGATCGAGCCAACTGGGAGCCCTTTAAAGATGGATGTAGCTACAGTGATGTCAGGCTTTGCAGCCAGGAGTTGTTCACTTTTCCTGGGCCATTGGTTTGCAAAAACCCTGAGGCGGGGGTGTGGGGTTCTGATTGTCGTCAGCCCATGATGACACACTTTGAAACGCAGTATGACCAAGATTTTATTTTTTATTACATTTGACCCAAAAGCAGTGAATGAGATCATAAACTGGGTATGAAGGTGTGTGCAGAGGTGAAGACCGCCACTTCCCAGCTCTGGGAGGCTTTTTGCAACCACAGCTATCGCCATCTGGTGGCCTGAAATAGAATGCAAGTTTTTAAGCACTTCTGCTTTAGCTTAATTTTTCTGACACAGCCCAGGTTTTATCTGTCTAGAGTAATCCCCCTGTGCTGCCAGCGAAGGACCGAGGTTTCTGTGTTTCAGGTCACGCTGTGTGTCATCTGGACCCAGCGTTAGACCAGCACAGAGGATTCTGTCAAGAGCAACTTTCAACAGAATTGATTGTGATTGGATGCTAAGTTGTAATACTCCTTGAATTTAAAAGCATGAAGATTTCTGTAGAGGAAGCAGCACGGCTCGTCACTCCCAGGTGTCTTTTAGCTGCAGTAACAGGTAAACAGGGTTTTTATGAATGAACTTTTGCAGACTCATTTTCCTGCAGCAACTCTGAGTTTTCTCTGAGGCATTTATTCTTCAAGCAGCGGGATCTTATTTTTCTCAAAACCGTTCAACAGATGGTAACACTCCTATGAGGACGATGTGTTCTCCAGTCTGCGTGGAACCCTCACTGGTCGGTTCTGTTAGATCCATTATCATCCTCCGAGAATCTCCACACCAATGGGTCCGCAGCATGGAACATTGCACAGGACAAAGATCGAGGGACGTGATTTGTTTTACACATTTGAATGTATTTTTACACCAAAAACGTGCATTTGGTGTGATTGGTTAAAATGTGGAGTGATCTAAGACACTAACCTTCGAAATGTGGCACATAAAGAAGGTTGGCTCGAACTATCTTGGAGACCATATGGATGAAATAAGATTTACACAGGAATAAAGCCCTAATCGGGCTCATCCCCAACTACCAAAACAAGTGTGGGTTTCTGTTTGTTTTTTTACAACTGTAAACACTTTTAATTTGCATTGTGACCCAGAACCATTTGGTTTTACATTATATATGGATGAACATACTCATTAGAAGCATTGTATAATCAAAGACTGATCTGTGCGTGTTGTCTTGTATGTACAGTAGTAGCGTAATGCTACAGGGGCACCTGGTTCACCAACTCCTGTTACACGTTTTTCAGTAAAATGAGCTAAAGCTGTAACTTGTTTCTGACTGCAGATCTTTTTCTTCCTCACATTTCAGTCTCCTTCAGCCCTGAGCCTTCCTGGCTGAAACAGAACCACCACACAGACCAAATCTGAGTTTAGATTGTGTCGGCAGGTTAAGATACAGCGAGTTACAGTAATCCAGCTGAGATGTAACCATTGATGTTAGTTTTCAAGTTATTTTTAGAAATGAGCTACAATGGTTGCAAAGATTTCTGATTTGATTTCTAAAGGCACTATCAACATGAAATTATCACCACATGTCAGTAACAATCCATTCAATCCACACATGCAAAGAAATCAAACCATAGATATCCATAAATCATGTGCAACAATGAGAAATGACACAGGGAACAAGTATTGAACATCCATCCATCTTCTTCCGCTTATCCGGGACCGGGTCACGGGGCCAGCAGCCTAAGCAGAGCAGCCCAGACCTCCCTCTCCCCAGATCAAATGGCCCGTCGCAATGGGCCAGACAGCCCATACTCCCACAGGACACCCCGAGGGACACGGTCGAATGCCTTCTCCAAGTCCACAAACACATGTAGACTGGTTGGGCAAACTCCCGTGCGTCCTCAAGTATCCTTGAGAGGATAAAGAGCTGGTCCAGTGTTCCGCGACCAGGACGAAAACCGCATTGTTCCTCCTGTATCCGAGGTTCGACTAGCGGATGAACTCTCCTTTCCAGCACTCTGGCACAAACTTTCCCAGGGAGGCTGAGGTGTGTGATCCCCCTATAGTTGGAACACCCCCTCGGT